ACTTACATACGTAAGACAAACGTTTTAAGATCCTTTACATGCCCACATACACAGCTTCCCTCTCCCTCAAAAAAGTCTCTAAATCTATAGTTCAGGCTACTCACCACTGAAGTTTGCAATACCCAGACTACTAAAAAAACGCCTGCAAGACACAAACATACCACTTAAAACACATATGATCAGGATTATATTTATTTAAATTGAATGCACTATATAACGTGTAAGTTAACACATTGCAAGTTTTTAAGAGTGGAACATGTGGAACATGTGGAAGTGATAAGGCTTGTTTTGCATACAAAAAAGAAAGAAAAAAAAATCAGCATACACATGTGTGCAAAGCCACATATCCAAAACAGCCATGCTAAAATATTCCAAAACCCTAAATTTGTAATCTACTGTGCACACATAACGGAGGGAGAAAAGCAGCTTTTTCAGTGAAGTCATTTACTAAGATATAGTGCACAGGAAGATGCTTAGTGAAAGGAGTGTGAGGTCATCAGCTCGAAAAAAATCTTAATTCTTTATGCCAACAGAAACGAGATATCACTAAGAGGATAAAGAGGAGAAAGTTACTCACAGGATTCTAAGTCGAGCTCTAAATCCAGAAGCTTTTTCAACGTTGACTTATGCTATGACCATAAGTAAGTTGCATATCTCATAGCGTGCACTGAATGCGTCAGTAGGAACGATTAATAAAGACTACTAAATTTACATTTGTATTGCTGTCTGGAGCAAGAGGAGACCTATTTTAATAAAAATATATTTGCTTATTTAAGAACTACTTGTATTTGTTTGCCTATTACTATTTCTTGAATTGCTCACTGTCGCTAAATTATTTCCTTGTACTTCTGAACATCAAAAAATCTTTCTCCAACAGCAGAGTGAATTCCCACAGTGAATACAGACATCAGCTATTTTTGGCAATGACTTTACACCTTTTACTCAAAAAAATCAAAAACATCACACCCTGCTATGAGACAAAAGATTTAATTTTATCCTCTCCCTCCCCAAGGTGGGAGACAAACACAAAAATAAATTTACATGAAATATCAAATTTCAAAAACATTATCAGCTGCAAATCTCAAAAGGAATGCAACCACCTTTGTTATTTTATCCTCCAAGTGACACAATTGAAAGACTGAAAAGCTTTTTTGAGGCTAACTGAGATTCTCCAAACGAAGGGAAATACCTGCAGTGCAGCAGTCTCTGCAGTGCCTCTGCATTCTAAAGCTTAAAAGCAGTGTAATAGCTGAGCTTGCACTACAACATCTCACTCCCTTACGCTGCTTCACACAAAAATGAAACCTGCAATAATGAACTCAAGTTTAAAAAAATAACCTTGGCTGCTATAAAGCCACAACATACTAACTTACTGTCACATACATCCACATAGTCTTTGATCAGAAAGTTCCTCCTAGCTCATCAACTTCAATGGTCAGGCCCACTCTATATGAAGAAACTGTTTGGTCAACTACAGATTTAATGTAACCTTTAATCTTTCAAATTTCTTCTGCACAATACCCTCCTTTGGCTGAGAAACTGAAGACTAAAGTACTCAGATGGCTAGAACTACTTTACTGTTGTGTTAACAGGTTAGGATGCTGCAATAAGACTAACTAAGTCTGTAGTAATCAGACTTTCTCAGTTAAGAATTTGGAACTGCTGAGAATAGCAAATGAGAAGATCTGCTCTCATCAAACTAATAAAAGTCTTATACCAGAATGACGGGCTACACTCTGCTGGTACGAGGAAGACCTACATTCAGCTAATGGTCTACTGTTCAGTCTTAACATAATGCTTGAAAGCAACACGTCTGTGATGTAAGCAGAGGGAAAAAAAGCTGTTACATCATCTACTTTATATTATCTACCAACAATCCTTCTGACTCTCTGAAGGAGTGGTATTTATTGGTTTAGATATACTTGCCCTAATCTATTCCACCTCAGCCATAAGTCTAACAGAAGTACCAAACATCTCAAGAATTTACCTCATGATGAAGGCTGATTAAGGATGTCCTCACAAGCACAGAAGCAGCAGGCCCTTCCGCATCCTATTAAAGACAAGCTAAGTTGTTACATTACTAAGTAAAAGATATTACTTACCACTTCCATACATTTGTTGAAGAGGAAGTCTTACTTGGATCACAACTAGTATTGTAAGTTATGATTCTGAGATGGCAACCCCACAAATACCAGCCTCTCTAACAATGAAAATAGACACTCACTTTTTTTTTTTTTTTGGGGGGGGGGGAGACATTCTCTTTTTCATGGGATAAGACTGAAAATTCTTAGCTTATCAAGACCACCATAACCTATTAAGAACAGGATTAATCATCCATAGTACCGTTGAGGCAGTCTTGGTAAGCATAGCACAAATCTGCCTGTAAATCTATTTATAGTTGTCCCCCACAGGATACAAATTATCCACTTGTTACTCTCTATCAATTCTTAAATTTTCTATCATGTTGAAATTCTAAATTGCCCATGAAACTCCTACAACTCCTAGTTGTAATAACCAATGTAAAGAATGACCAGAAGATAAGTCATGAAGCAGTCCCAAAAACAGAGTGAAAGATGAAAAATTCAAATACCTTGTTTTGTTTTGTTACTTAAATTTTCTATCATGTTGAAATTCTAAAGTGCCCATGAAACTCCTACAGTTGAACCTACCTCATCTTCCATAAGGCAACAGTCACAGACAATGCAAAGAAAGCAAAGCAGGACACTTCAGTAAGTTGTAATAACCAATGTAAAGAAAGACCAGAAGATAAGTCATGAAGCAGTCCCAAAAACAGAGTGAAAGATGAAAAATTCAAATACCTTGTTTTGTTTTGTTACTCTTAGATTAGTGTGCAATGAGAAGGTTTCTGAATAAATATTCAGGGATCACAACCACAATTAATCTGTAACCTGATTCAAGAGATAACTGACTATTTATTACTAAGTAGGTATGTTTTCCCCTTGAATATGTATTTCTGGTGACTATTTAGAAGAAAATGGGTTTTCCCATAAGGCAAGTCTTAACTTAGCTCTTGGATCACAATCAGTAGTTCACTCCCTGATGTTTTAGTGGGGGTTAAGAGGGACTGAAATCACAAGAAAAGCTGCACAACTTCTGCTAATTCAAGGCTACCGTAACCCAAACTGGAGCTATGCTTTTAGGGGCCACCTGAGGAATGGCTGTTAGCCTTAGAATGACCAGCTCACCCGTTTGCTTTCTCACCAGCACTGGGTGAGTTCTCACTGGGACACTGCTAGGGGAAGAATTTGAAAACATCAACGCTGCTACACAAAACAGCATGAGTCTCCCTCCAGGGAGGGCAGCATCCACTTTTTACATGGTATTTTAATGCAGCAGGAAGAGACTAGATGCACTATAATGTCCCATAAACAAACTTACGGATTAATTTCAGAGAAATATAGCAACTCATTAAAATGTATAGTTTACAGGGATTTTACTTTCAGGAAGGAAGAAGGTATGCAATAATTGCATATTTTACTCATCTAGTAAAATGAGCAAGATCAAACAGTTCAGCTACATTTCTACCTTAGGCACGTAAGTAACTGGAAGTATACTGATCCAGGGCCCGGTTTCTCTTTTCCGCTTGGTAACAGCTTTTGGGTTACTATGAACCCTGCCTGTTTGTTACAGCTCGCACCTCAGTCTACTGCTAGATTGAATAACAAACCCACCCCACCTTGTTTATGTCAAACTCATTTTTAAAACCTCATAGGAATGTCCAAATAATAGGCGCCAAGCCTTTTCTTACTTATTCATGAATGACTTCTGAAGTATAGAAAGCAATTGTCAGATTTTATTTTCATTTTATGTCAAATCCTATATACGTGAATTCTTATATATATGTGTATACACACACACACATATACATGTGTAAGCCTACTAGAGTGAACTTAATGAGACAGTTAAGCATCCGTGAAAATTAAGACTCTAGGAGAAAGCTTTTCCAACAGCTCAGATTTCTTTAATCTATAATGGTAAGGACAGCGATAGAAAAAACAGACACTGTGCATCAGCTTCTGTATCACTTAAAAAAACAAAAAGAAAAAAAAATTCAACAACACACAGCAATGTATTTTCCTGATTAAGAAGTGTTTTAGTACAGACATGACACGCAGGATTGTTTGTATATTAAACGGCATATATTGTTTCAAAGGACTTTATGTATGGTGGAAATTATCTTTGAATCATTTGTGTCTATTTGCTGTATTTAAATTGCAATTTCATAAGAATACTTATGAGCCTTCCCCTTGCCTCTTAAAAGAATAAAATGAATTCTCTTCAGTGACTGGCTGGATGTTATGGGAGATGCACAGGCAAAATCTAGAGCACCCTAAGAATAGTATTACCAGAGCACAGAACTATTTTAACCCCTTAGTAAATGGCTTTGGTTTAAAAACATTCCCCTTCAAAATCTAGGCTTTTTTTGGTCCAACTCTGCAGTAAATAAATCAGTCAAACTTAAATCTGCCCATATTAAATACTGAGTAACATCCTGTGGCAGTTTATTTTATCCTACATGTTTAAAAAGTATGTAACATCCAACCTTGTCTCACACTGTTTTTTCACATATTCATAAAGATGAAGTATTTTCAAAACAGCCAAGGGTTTTGAGTCCTATTAAAGAAAGGAAGCAAATCACCCCTTATATTTATTTATGATACAGTTTATCCTGGCATATCTTCCCCTTCCTGTATGTGATACACACACACACACACACACACACACAGTTTTCTTCGATCCATGAAGTAAAAAAACTCTAAAAGTTGAAAGTACTTAAAGTGTTAAAAACTAAACAATTACACAGTCAAAACATGCCTAACATGCAACGCTTAACTCTAGAAAAACCCTTCATAAATGGCAGTATTTCTAATATTACACTGTCAGTAGGATTGGGGGTGGGGAAGAGAGATGTTTGGAGCTTTTGTTTACATTATTATTATAATCAGAATAAAATCTGTAAGGATGAGAAAACAACAAACCTGACCACTCCAAGCACAGTACAGGTTACATATCAAACTCCAGTTGTGATTGATCAAGCAGTCTAAAATCCGGAGCTGGGCCATGCCTCGCTCTAGCGCAGACTGCTGCTGTGCTCTGACTCAGCTTTTGTCCGAGTGATGCCCGAGGAGACGGCAGCGATGCAGAGAGGAGGACCAGGAACAAGGACCTTCCTTCCTGTTCACTTCTCCCTTCCCACCCCACAATGTGACAACTCAACACGATAAACCGACAGGACTGCATAACGTTACACTCCCGAAACAACCAAATTATGCATTCTCGGGGCGGGAAGGAGAGGAAAACAAGAACAGCAAATACAGAAAGGATCTCTCAAACTGTGCTTGTTCTTTTTTCATTTCTGCTGCTGAAGAAACCAATCTGAGTATCATCAATAATTTAGTACAGTAATTCACAGCACATGAATTTTAAACTTGTTTAGGCGCAATACACTGCGATGGTAGCTTCTGTGTTTTCATGAGATACAAAAGCTTATGTCAGCTATTTTAAACGTAGCAGAATACTAGAAATCTTTCAAAGATCAAAGAACTTCAGTTTTCATAAAATCACTAAGTTTCATATGCTTGACGCGGGTCGACCCCCCTTTCGACTATCAGAGCACTGATGGTATTTCACAGAAATGCTGTCTTGTCTTCTGTATTAAGGAACAACAACAGCCATATTGTTGGAGAGATGGAAGATGCAACACCAGCGGGATCCTGAGAAGCTGCAAATACACTGTCAAGTTTCCTTCTGCCTTTATATATTTCTTTTTTGCAATTAGTGGACTACCATCCTATCTCAGACGTACACCTCATCTTCTGTCCTGACCATCTACCTTGTATTCCTCTTCCGCTTTCCCTTCAAGCTTTAGATTCAGAAATACAAGAAATAAGTTTCCCTAGAAACATACACACTTTATTTGATGATTGCATGAACTGTTACACTGCCTACAGAAACAACATACAATAATTTGAGGTTTAAACACCACAATTAACTAATAAATCATTCAGAAACAGATAGACCTGGTTTCACCTATCAGCTGTAGCTCAAAGTAATTTAAAACCAGAAAGTATTATTTCTCGAAAATGCGTTTGAGACCCAAGAAACACATCGCAATGACGCAAGGGTGGACCCAAATGCTCTGATCTGCGGACGCCAAGGAGCGAGGAAAGACTGGCCTCCAGCAAACGGGCCTTGCGAGTCTGTGCTGCCCCCACTCCCGTGGCCCTGAAGGAGGAGAAGGGCAAGGAAGACAACATGCACCAGGAGACGGGAAGCATCCTTTTCCCATCAGTATTACGCGTACTGCTGGAGCAAAGAGTACCCAGAACACACAAACGACTGCTATCCTGAGAAAGTATAAAGTAAAGGCTCTAGGTGGCCAAATCACCCCTTGGTTTACTAACAGCCAAACCACAGAAAAATACTTCCACTATTGAAGAAAACCTGTGGTATCAAAGCAATTTGTGAAGAACACGTGTATGTGAGGGTTAAGGAAAGACTTTGGCTGAATAGCAGCTTGTAGCTTTGAACCAGTTACATAAATAAGGCCTTACTTATTTTAAACAGAAAAAGAAAAAACAGAAAAAGAAAAAACATTCTAATTTCTCATCCCCAAGGGCCCTGGGAGTTAATGCCAAAGTTCAGACCAACCTCTTCCCTTACCACCTTCCCTTCCACCAGTGAAAGGAGTTTCAAAACTACCACACTTGTTTAAAACAAATCCTTTTTGTTTCATTTTAAGATGTATACGGCAGAGCTTCTGTACTATCCTTACAATACCCAATTACAAAATAAAATAAAATAAAATTAGCAAAACTGTAGTATCGGCATGACATGGCACAAAATGATAGGAGTTACAAGGCTTTTATGTGGCCTCAGAAAAAGCACTTAAAGAGGGGGACAAAAGAACTCGTGGTATCAAAACAATAAAAACTCCTTATATAAGTTAATTGCCTGCATGTAAGCAGCCTATGCTGACAAGAGGCTAAAGACGTGTCCCGCTTAGCAACTATTACTAGGTGGAACAGACACACTTCCTCACAACAGACATCATAACTATCCAAGCTTGAGAAAACCTGGAGAGAGAGGATGTTTCGGGAGGTCTTGCTAAGTGCAGGATTAGTGCGGAGAGACGCCAGAGGCGAACGAGGCAGTGAAACGTTCAGGAAGGAATGTCGGAATGAGGAAGGAACTGGAATCTCGGACCAGGGGCGCTGGCAAGAGCTACGCAGCAGCCTACACACACGGCTCGAACACGGCCTGCTGCAAACTTTTCACACTGTGGAAAAACGCTATCATCATCTAAATAAGGTGGAGGGAAGAAGGGAACGGAGATATGGAAAATTAAGAAAAGTTTCCTGTTTTGTATTAAGAACAGCATCAACCATTTTTTTTCCAACAGTATTTTAGTACAAATCTGCAATGATCACTTTCATCGTCATTTATCAACTTTAAGATCCATAAAATATTATTCAGTATTTAGCCCCTCTGACGTACTCAAACTTCTACTAAGCATTCAACATGGTATATTATATTGCACAGGAGAAGACTTTTAATGTGAAAAAAACTTAAGGGTCAGTTAAACCTCAAAATAAAATCTGCATAATTCTTCCTATAAAATCAGCAGTCGTTACTAACCTGTTACTGTTTAGCCTTCACTTTTAAATGCGAAACTCTAAAACAGATTTCTTTTTTAAACGGCCAGTGCTTAGGTACTACTGCAACTCATGTAACGTTTGGATGTACTTTGGATAAAACATAAATATCAAAATAAAGCAGCAAAAAGACATTTTCAGAAACAGCCCGTATTGGCCTGTCTTTCTGCCACCAAAAATCAGTATTAAAATGCCTATGGACTCCAACAAGTGTAGAATGAGGTGAGGACCAAGACTTTTGCAAACCTGAGCCTTTGCTGAAGTCTTCTCGATCAAAGCAGGAGCTCCAAAACTGCTACAACAGCAGCATTTTCAAAAGTAAGTTACATGTATTGCTTCAGATTGACTATTTCTCAAACTTTTCTCAAAATGAGCCGGTGCACTTGTAAATTTGATCTGCTGTTACTGAAAACCCTCCTGACAATCTTTAACTAGCCTGACATCTGTTTTCTTTCATTTACAAAGAACAAACTCATTCTTGGTATGAAGTTAAACCAAATTTCACTTAGCTTAGCATTCCCCAATTCTTACCTTACTTTCTTTTCAAATAACTGTAACATATTTTTGGAAGATTCTTTACACTTCTTCTAAGTAAGGTTCCTAAGGCACACCAATTGCACAAGAACTTATGGACTCTCCTTAAAGCTGGCACACAAGAGTCAGTGTGCTTTCCTTTTTGCCTTCAGCTCTCCATTTTCTACTGTCTTCTCTATAAATGTTTAATGCAAAAACAAAACCAAAGTAATCTGTATTATAAACATTTTAAGCTTTTGAAAGGTTCATAAGTTTTTGCCAAAATTAGAAAAAGGGCTTCCGCACCAAATGTCAAATTGTAGTATAAAATGGCCAATAGCATTTCAGGATGCATTCACATTGCTGCAGAATGACTGAGGACACAAATCAATGTTAGTACGCTCCAAAGGTTACAACACCCAACTGTGCAAAGAGCTGCTTGTCATACACTGAACTTTGACTGAAAAAAAGGATGACAATATACAGGGTTTAAGCAGGGTTTTGAAGTTCTGCTGCTGGCCAGTTTTCTTCCCCGTAAAATAAATGAAGAGAAAACTTAAATTCTAAGAATACAATAAAGGTGAAGTTTGATTATGCAGTTTAAGAAAATTTAAGGAAACCCATCCAACACCTCACAAACTCTCACAGACTATCTGACACAAAGTCTAATATTTTGTCCCCATCTTTAAAAATTGCAAGAGAAGGGTCTCAGTATTTTGAGGTAAGAAAAGCAAAACCAAAATTATTTAGTGCAAATTCTATTTCCTAAAGTTTAATAACTAAAGGAGTTGATCACATGGGCTAAAGATCAAAACCACAACCTCTTCAATTCATTAGTTCTCAGAAACCATCAGTCTTGTATCCAAACTCCGGGAATTCAAAAAGGAACAGCAGAGAAAAGGTAAGAATTTCCTAAAATCATCCCCTCAATTATCTAGGCTTCTATCTAAAAACCACTGTGAGCCTTATGAAACAGTGAAGTACTGCATTTGCCAGCAGAAAGAAAGGGCTTCCACTCCCAAAGGACCCCAAATTCTGTCTGTACACGAGCAGATGTGCAAGCTGCACACAGGAATCACCTAAATTAGTAGCACGCAGTGAAGTAGGGAAGTGTCTGAGAGACGTGCCTGCAAAAGGAAGCTGGTAACAAAATTTGGGGGGACAGAAGGGGAAAGGGTAATGTCTCTTGCTAGAATTACTTCTAAACTGCAAAATTTATCGCTACCACTAAAAAAAAGATTAACTCTTGACTGAAAGTTGTAAAAAAAAACAGCCTCTCTGAGAAACTAGAGAAACTTGTCAAACAATAATATCTCGTATTAGTAACAACTAACCGCTTCAAAACAATGCATGAACTGTCTTACAATTCCATTTTCTTCTGATCCTGCTTATTATCGGCTTACAGGTCCAAAACATATAGCTCAGAACTTCCAGCACCAAATTCCTTACAGAGGAAATTCCTTTATTACTAAAGGGAACCTTTATTTTTTCATTATGCTACCAGCATAATTCTAGTCAAACTACCCTTAAAGAACACACCTACGTGTGAAGGCATAGTGAATCCTTATATATGCTAGTAAATAAAAATGATTCTCTAATCTTTTAAAAGTAAGGCATGGAAAATATACTTTAGTAAATGATGATAAGACTAAGAAAGCAAATAAATGGAGGAAGCCACATTACAAACAAACATGGTTATTACTTCACCTCTCCAGTTAAGTGATCAGCACTCTCGGAGAATCAGTCACAGTAATTTCAGTGGCACTGTCATACGATATAACAAAGAGGGCTTTGTTGTGCTCTACACAGTGACTAATATTTTCTTGCTTGTAACAACATTTTAATGTCTTCAGAAAGGGGAGGGGGGGAAGCATGCACACATCCTCACTGGTTCC